GAAAGTTCGGTTCTAATTGGCGAATTATTATTATTATTGTGATCATGTATATTGTTATTATTAGTTAGTTTGCGTAGTGTACCATCTTCACTAAGATCAAGAATTAAAAAGACGCTAGATGATACAACTAATGGTAACTTAAGAAGAAGATGCGATGTTTCTTGGGCAGAAAAATTCCGTTCAGATACTGTATGCAATAAAAGTTTCTGAATTGGCTTTAAAGTCGGTTCATCGGGTCTTGCGCTATTAAGATAATCAGAAAATATTTCATCGAATGTCTTAGAACGTGGTTCTGATTTGCTGGCGTATTTTGCAATGTAAGAGAGCGCAGCATGAAGAGAAAGAACAGGCTTTATATCAACATTGGCCCTCCAGCCTTGAAGCTGAATTCTACAATGTGGGTTGACTAATGGATTATTACGACGTAATAATAGTTCTGGTTGGTTATTATCATCGGATTGTATAATAGTAGAATTGTGTAATTCTTTTGGATATCCAAATCGGCATTCTTCTAAATTAGTACGCTTATTTAGTACAAGGCAAGAGGAAGATGAACATTTCGTATGTCTTTGAACTTTGTTGACTAATTGGCAATAGTCATCGAAGTCATCCGTTAATTCTTCCAATGGTTTTTGGCAGGGATGTTGTTCAGAAATACATGCGGTCCTATCTGAATTCATGGCAGTAGCAATTGAATCAATATATGTAATAATATTTTCCATTAAGTGTTCATCTTGTTGAATAGCCATCCAATCAAAAGTCGGTGCATTCGAAACTTTCCCAATACCATGTACATGTGTACTTCCCCGGTGTTGCCATTCATACCGGTACCAATAGTCACTAAGATTCCATTTAGGTATTAGAACGTGCTCTAAGAATAATTCAAATCGACATGTAAAAAACCATGTTGCTATATGAGGATTCTCATTTAAATTATGATACTGAGTAGCTTGTGTAGAACTAACGCTAGTATTTGGCATAAGATTATGTAGATCGGGCCAATGTAAATCAGCCGAGCTAAATGTAAAAAAAATTAATCCATCCATGCCGATTTGCTTGATCATATCAATAAGTTCATAATGCATTTTTTTCCAATAAGGCCACGTCCCTCGAAGAGTATTACTGTACCGAACAATTTAATTTACTAATGAATTATTAGTATTAAGTAATTCTTGAATATCTTCCACTGTCAAATACACATCTTCCAAATTTTGACGTACATATATTTTGCCATTTTCAAGCGCTCTCCATCTCATAATAGAGTTTAATGCAAAATATCGAAATCTTTTATGTTGTGCAAATCGTCCATCACAATATTTTATTAAATGTTCAAAATATTCGACTGGATATACTCTTCGATGCCGTTTAGTACTATGCAAGTCTGCTTTTCCTTTAGGAAATAAAGTAGGAAATGCTTTAGTTATATAACCGACTTCTTCAAATTCATTAATCGGACTATCTTTAATAGTAGGCCAGTCAATCAATGTATTGGTGTCCGTATTTGCAAGTTGATTAATTTCAATATAAGTTGTGACTTCTTCAGTTTCTTTAGTAGCAGGATTAGGTATAAAAGTATG